CACAGCGGCGCAGCTTGTCTGCCCGCCCCACAGTCCCCATCACAGCTCAGTGAGTACACACACCAGCAAGCAGACAGCGTTTTGTGTGCTTGCACACGCGTGTATGTGCAGGTGGCTGCGTGCGCGTGTTCTTACATGTACCTCTGCGTGCGTGCGTGCATGGGCGTTTGTGTTCCAGTCTCGTTGATGTCAACCACCACTCACTTTGGCCTCTTGTGGAAAAACACACGACGCTGCAGCATGAAACTGGAGTTTGTTGGCCGAACCCCGCACAATCACAGAGTAAGTGCTGCTGCTGCTGCTGTGCTGCTGCCGTTTCTGTAGCTTGCTAGACGGTTTTGATGGATTGCAAAGTCCTTAGCGGATTGGAAGTGCAATCCTTGTGTATGGTACAGCGCGCACAGGGTAATGTATGCGATTTTGTATGTCGTGGTGGTGGTAGGTATTGTACTCTGTTCAACAGCACCTGTCAACGAAGCGGCGCACCGTCCCTCTCTTCTGCGGCCTTGTCAAGGTCCGCGCGTGTGTGTGTGTGTGTATGTGTTTCTGTGTGTCTCTGTGTGTTTCTGTGTGTCTGCGTGTCTGTCTGTGTTTCTGTGTGTCTGTCTGTGTGTCTGTGTGTCTGTGTGCGTCACACCTCCTGTCCACCTGCCTTCCTTCCTTCCTGCCCGTACATCTCTGTACACTGCATTGCACTTATCAACATTGAATGCACAGCCATCTCACGTTTCTCTCTTTCCATTTTCTCCTCCTATCATCATGCTTGCATTTACACGTGATCAGGCTGGTGATACTATGCGCTTGGATGTGGTGACGGGGGAGCCACGCCTCGTGCTCGTCGTAAGCACACACACACACACACACACGCACACACACACACACACACACACACACACACACACGCGCACACACACACGCACACACACACACACACAGACATACACACACAGACACACACACGCACACACACACAGACACACACACGCACGCACGCACGCACCTATGCACGCACAACTGCACATTTCCACACGGCATACATGTATTCGTGCATCAAAGCCGCTCCTCCCCCCCCCCCCCAAAAAAGCTGTGCGACTCGCCCAGCCGCTCACCTGCGTGGTTTGCATGCTTGCACTGCAGGTGCACCGTGACCACGTGGTGTCGGAGAAGTGGACATCGTGCTGCCAATATGGGATGCGCATCGGAGCGCGACCTGGCGGGCGCTCGGGCCAGTTTGTTCTCGGTACGCGTGCACTGTTGTTGCATGATCACATTCACTGATCCACGCACGCCACTTCGCCCGCACCCTCACCTGCAAATCAAATTCAGTGCTTCTTTGCCCCACTGCAATTGCGTGTTGCCCTCACTATCCGCGTACTCACACACCCTCCCCTGTTCCCCTTGCTTCACGAACGGCAACCCCTACAATCACCACCCCACCACTTTTGCGTACATGCGTGCGTGCGTGCACAGCGGCTGCTGCTGGACGCCCGTGCCTGCGGTGTCAGGTTCGCGGTGCATTGCGTAATGGCGGCGGCCGCGGCTTTTGGTCCGAGGACAACACCATCACAGACGACTACACAACAGCCAGCACCACCATTCACGACAGCAGCAGCGGCAGCGGCAGTGGCGTGCCCTCGTCATCAGCATCATCGCCGTCCACGCAGAAACGGACTGCAGGGGCCGGCAGTGCTCGCTCACAGCGTGCTCGCCCCAATGCTCATGACGGTTACGATGATGATTTCGATTCGTACTCGCAAACTGACGACGGCAACGACAGCAGCAGCAGCCGTGATGGCAGGTCAGCAGCGAACAAGTACACGGGTAGCAGCAGCAGTAGTGGTGATCACTCAGGCAGTCATGATGACAACGATGATGACGTACACGCTGATGCTACTGCGAGAAGTGGAGATGATCTCCGTGCTGGCATCAACATCGCTCCACCATTGCACCAAACAAGACGCAACCAACACCGCGCCCGTCCACCATCCTCTTCCTCCTCCCACCGCCGCCCTGGCAGCGCCACCACTCGCCGGCAGCAGCGCCAACCCAAATCCGCACCGGCGCTGCGGCGAGCAGCAAGCCGTGATCACAGCCGTGGTGTTGGTGGTGGCGGTGGTGGTCGAGGGATAAAACCAAACGGGCGGCCGATGACTGCAGGTGGTGCTGCACTGCGAGGGAGCAGACGCGGGGACAGCAGATCCGCTGATGATGTTCATGGCGGTGATATGTTCGGCGACAGGGAGGGACCAGTGACTCCGATGGCACACGGGCGACACATGTTGGAGGGAGTTGAAGGTGTGGCGGGGATGGGTGATGGCGGCAACGCATCAGCGGAGGACACGTGCGGTGCACGGAATGAAGGCGGAGATGGCCGCGAAGTCGAACGGGGCATTGTTGGCGGGGGAGAAGCTGATGCGATCGTGCTGAAACGTGAACAGAAACAGGGGGCGGAAGACCTGGAAGATAAGATGGAGGAAGAAGGAAAAGAGGTGGAGGTGGAAGAAGAAGAAGAACGCAAAGTGGGAGTGGAAGACAAGGAGAAGGAAGAAGAAGAAGAGAAAGATGCGGGAGAAGAGGAGTACCAGCACCAGCACCAGCACCAGCAGCCGCAGCAACGGGCTGCAGTTGAGGACGAGATTCCCAGGCGTGAAGGAGAGGAAGAAAAGCAAAGAAAAGAGGAGCACATGCAGCGTGCAGACGACGCCGTCGCTTCGCCGCCGCCATTTCAATGGCCGGGAGAGGTGGAGCAAGCAAGTGAACCACTAACACGTTCCCCAGATCACACACAAGACACGAGTAATCCCTCGCCATCGATGGTGCCAGCTAGCGATGATGATGAAGAGCACTATGGCCGCAGCAATGCTGAAGATGACAATGAAGCTGGTGATTCAGAGGACGTAGCGGTGGCGATGGCTGCAGATGCAGCACTCCTCTCCGCCACCGCTATTGGCCTTCCGCTTCTGATTCACGCACCAGCAGACGCACCCCCGCTCTCATTCAGGTTCGTGTGCGCATCTGTGTCTGTCCGTCTGTCTGTTTGTCTGCATCCGTGTTCGTGTGTGTGTGTGTGTGTGTGTGTGTCTGCATCTGTGTCTGTCCGTCTGTCCGTTTGTCTGCATCCGTGTTCGTGTGTGTGTGTCTGCATCCGTGCATGTATGTGTGTGTGTATGTGTGTGTGTGTGTGCGTGGATACGCCTCCGTCTCCCACTCTCTGCCTGTCTGTGTATGGGTATGTTTTGTTGGTTTGATTTCATACCCTCCTTCCCCAGCATGACTGCGTTCCTTGACTGACACTGTCTGTCTTCTCCCCCACATACCCCTCCTCCTTTCCCCTTTCCCTTCCATTCTCGACTGTCCACATTTGCGCGTGTGCACAGGAACGCGTCGCCGGTGCACCGGGAGATTTTTCCGATCGTTGAGGAGACGGAGCCCGAGTCCGGGGCAACGACGCCATACACATCCAAGCACGCGTCGCACGCCGTGCCGCCGGCACCAGCCCTCATGCGCCAGCAGGGGCGGACGGGCAGCGCTGTGCAGATGGGCACCAGTCGTGGTGGTGCTCCCAGCACGAGCGTCGATGATGATGACGCTGGTGGAGATGGTGACGAAGATGACGCTGGTGGTGAGGCCACGTCGCACAATGCGAGCAGCGATGCGGTGGAGGAGGAGCTGGCAGCGCTGGTGATGGCCTCTGTTGTCCAACAGAGCACCGACCACACCACCGCCACCAACAACAACGACGACAACGACCAGACCATCACCACCACTTCCGATGTCAGTGGTGGGCGCAACATCCATGATGGCAGACACCTCCGGCCCTGTGGTGGTGGAGCCAACGACCATGACGGTGATGACGATGATGACACGACAACCGATGATGACGATGAGGTGTTGGGTGGAGCAGTGCAGGCCAGACGCGTGCGGAGAAACCGGCGGCCAATGTCTGCTCGCCGGCGAACACCGCGCGCACAGCACGCTGCGACCACGAAGGAGGGTGGTGATGGTGGTGGAGAGTCTGGAAACGAATCAGACTGGGAAGGGCTGCGTAATGAATGCGATGATGGTGGTGGCAGTGGCGATGGTGGTGGCAGCCACAGCAGCGGCGGCGGCGGCTTGGCGCGCATGATGCGACAGCGTGGTGGCGATGCGGAGAGCAACGCGTACGACTCGGATGAGGACGGGTCGCTGCTGTCTGGGGGGCAGTTCACCCCGCGCATTGTGATGCAGCAGCAGGAGACGCATGATTTTGATCTTGACGAGCTGTTCGCTTCCGATGAGGAGGACGTTTATTACGAGGAACAGCCACATAGGGACCAGTAGAAGCAACATGTGGTGTGGTGTGTGTGTGTGTGTTGCGACGGGACTGCGTGTCGTGATGGGTGATAGCAGCGTACGGGATTTGTGTTGATGGGAACGCAATAGTGTGTGTATGCAACAGTAGCCATAGAACATGAGAGGGTGGTGAGGAATGGACGCCCCAAATGATGTAGACATGCATGATTTCGTGTGAATACTGGGCGCTGGGAGCATATTATGTTTTAGACACGGTTTAGTTGCTTGCATGCATCCCCCTCATTATAACCGGACCAATAAACACTGTGTACACACCCATGTCGATGTGGGCTCACGCGAACGCTTTCGGGGGGATTAAGAGTGCTGCTGTTGTTGTCGTTGACTGCAATTGGTAACGCCGCTGCATACTGCTACTGACTACTGCTGGTATTGCTGGTATTGCTGCTGCTGCTGCTGCTGCTGCTGCTGCTTGTGCTTACTGCTGCTGGTGGTAATTGGGCCTCTTGTTGACGCCAAGTTCAGATTCCGCCTCTATCGACGACAGCCCGAGCACCTGGCAGCGATGTGTGTGTGTGTGTGTGTATGTATGTATGTATGTATGTGCGTGTGTGTGTGTGTGAGTGAGAGAGAGGGAACCCTGCTTTCACTGCTTCGCTGTCCACAGTTCTAAGGACATTGCGAGCACACGAGCCCGCACCTTCTTGTAGATTTCCTTGAGCAATTCCGGCAGCAACACGTCCATGGTGTACTGGGATCGAGTGCGATGGGTGGTGGCGAAGGAGGTGACGGAATGGATATGCGAGCAGGTGACGCAGACATACACGCACACACGCACACACACACACAGAGACAGGCACACAGACACACAGACACACATGCACAGCGCCAGACTCACGGGGAGGTACTTTGAGCTCCGGGCACAGAAGACCTTTGTGAGCTTTGACGAGATGAACTCGCGCTGTTGGCCTGTGAACGATCCAAAGAACACGGAATAGCGGAGATGGCCGCGCGTTTGCCCGCCGCGCTTGAACGCCTCATGCCGCTCGCTGTACTGCTCCCCACGGAAGATGGCTGGGTGTGTGTTTATGTGTGTGTGTGTGTGTGTGTATGCGTGTGTTTATGTGTGTGTGTGTGTGTGTGTGTGTGTTTGTGTGTGTGTTTGTGTGTGTGTTTGTGTGTGTGTGTGTGGAGTGCGAGAGATGCGAGTAAGTATGTGGAATGCGCGCACAAACAAACACACACCAGAACACACGCACAACACACACACACACATACAACACGCACACGCACACACACACATACAACACGCACACGCACACAACACGCACGCACACGCACATGCGTGCACCTTTCATTGTTGGCATTGCGTCGTTGATGAGGCGCTTCAATTCTCGCTTCGTCAGCTGCAGATACGGGGGACGCACAACAGCACGGATGGTCGATCAGATGGAGGGAAGAGGAAACAAGGGGCGTAGGTGACAAGGCACCAATGGAACACCACACATACACACACACGCACACACACACACGCACACACACACATACACGCACACATGCACGCACACATGCACGCACACATACGCACATACACACACACATACACACACGCATACACACACACGCACATACGCGCGCATGCACATATGCGCGCACACAGTCTCACCTGTGCAATCTTGATGGCGTGTCGTGTTTCTGGCGAGAGCGGCGGTGACGCACTGCCATCATTCCTGTCACCTGCTGTTGTTGCGACCGGTGCTGTTGTGTCTGCTCCTGCGGAACGAGGGCCCTCACCCTGACCCCTCGCCGCTCCTGCGCCCGCATGTGATTGAGGCACTGAGGACAACGCTTGGTCCACAGCTTTGCCACTCTCCACCAACTTTGGTGCCTTTGCCGTCTGGTTGTCGGGATCAGCGTCGTCGTCACCGCCTGCTACCGCTGCTGCGTCATGTCGCGTACGAGCTGCCACGTGTCCGTTGAGCGTTTGCTGTCGGGACACGCGCGGCCGTTCAGGACTGCAGAACACCATGATGCGGTTGCGGAACAGCGTGAAGCATGGACGTGTCTTGCTGCTGCCTGAGATGGGCAATACAAACGGCTGCGCCATTGCAGACGCCAACCGACACTGCACCAAATAGCCAGGCACTGTATGTGTGTGTATGCATTTGTGTGTGTATGCATTTGTGTGTGTGTGTGTGTGTGTATATATATGCATTTGTGTGTGCATGGGTTAGGCGCGGTGTGATTCAAAGGAAGGGAGAGAGGACGTGTGGGTTTGCTTGGGCACAACAAAGCAAAACGACTTTGCTCACCGTCAAGGTTGAATATTCTGCGGAGTGGCGTACCAAACGTTCCATCCTGATTCATCACCGCCACACAGGCACGCAAACGTGAGCACAGCGTACACGCCGTGCGTGTTGAGAGCAGAACGCACTGGCTGTCCTCAGCCATGCAGTGATGGGGTATGTCATTCGTCGTGAACACCACCAAGCACACAGCACAGAGACCAAACCAACACTGCGCACACAAACAAACGCGCACAAACAAACACCCACAGACAAACGCGCATGAACAAAGCAAGCGCGCACAAGCCTCACCTCTGTTTGTTCCAATAGCGTGTCCTTGAGCGCGTTCAGCAGCTGCTCTTCCAACTCACGCGTCAGCTCCAGGGAGCGATGTGCAAGCAGCTCCACTTGAATTGTCTGGGATGACGAGACCTATCGAGCCAGCACAATCATGTTGTTCAGCACGGTGAGCGCGATTAACAAGGCAACGAATTCCACCACTACGACGCATCTGCGCGCCTTTGATGCCCTTGACCTTGAGCATGTGCATGTGTGTGTGTGTGTGTGTGTGTGTGTGTGTGTGTGTGTGTGTGTGTGTGTGTGTGTGTGTGTGTGTGTGTGTGTGTGTGTGTGTGTGTGTGTGTGTGTGTGTGTGTGTGTGTATGTACCTGGATGAACCGCACATCCTTCGACATTGGGTATCGCTCAATTATAATGTCCTCAGTGGGCAAAAAATGGGACACGAGAAAAAGCCATCACAGGGGTGTGTGGGGCTTCAGAGACGCCAAAACCCCAAAAAAAGAGCTCTTCGAGAGCTCTCCAATGAGCCAAAAATCACCTTCGTGCGATGTGTGTGTGGTGGTGGGTGACTGTTTTACTGAGCAGCAACACCTTCGCACAAAATCACCCCCACAAACAGGTATGA